TGCCTCTGCCTCTCCAGCCAACCCACATGGCCAAATATAGTGTACAGACTGTCCCGTGGAAAAATGCATTTGAACATACTCCCATATTCACCCCTTTTGCCATTTGAAAACACCAAATCCAACAATGACTCTCAAGTTTAGGTATGCCTGTTCCCTAAGTCACACATCCTGACTGGTTAGGGAAAGGAACATTATGGCCTGCATCCCACTTCATGGCAGAAACTTCCAAACTCAAGTTTCATAAAATATATATAACAGAGGTGTGTAATATTCTATTTCTTCAATATCTCCATAGAAATGCTCAGCCTGCCGTACACAAAACTGTACTGTTGCTTTAATGCCAACATCATAGCTGAGGCAACACATTATAAACCGGGCGGCAGCGCTTTATCTCACCAACTGAGATAACTCGCATCAACAAGACCAACAGTAGTCCTGCCACAAAACAGCACTGCTTCTTTTCCTCTCGTTTTTTTTGCACCACTTTATAAGGCTGCAGAACTGGAGCCTGAATCAACAGACCAAAAGGCACCAGAACTGTTTTTTTTATTGAAGTGCAACATCTACACCTACTCCCTTATTTTGATATAGCACCTAATAGCATTCCTAAATCCCTCTCCTATTTCACCCTCTGACACTTTGCAGTCCAACAGCAATCCCTCAAGTAAGATGGTCAAAATTTGAGGGATTTAGAAGCAGTTGCATGTTGACAGAAGTTTAGTGTCTTTTTATACAAGAGACATTGGTGCTCACGAACAACACACTAATATATGCAGTAACTGATTAAAGATATACTCCATTTGTCTGATTGAAGATGTCGTACAAGAGCTTTCATCAACTGTAGAACTGGGAGTTTATCACTCTTCTACAAATGTTAACTTCCAGACTGCATCTCCAAAGCAAACATGTGATGTGAGTGGACATTTAACATTGGGATCAACTTTAACAAAGGCAGCTTTGACATTCACATGCATGCTACTGGTCTGCATGTGCATTTTGAAAAGCATTTCCTCCAATGCTATAGAGCACAATGGCGCTATAATTTACCAGAGTATGGTTAGACTGAAGGCGGTCAGTAGTGGTGAGTGTGATCAAGGCTCTGAGGTACAAGTTCTGGTATTAGCAGAGCTAATCACGAAGGAATGTCCTTATGCAAACACAGAGCTCCTATATTACTATAAATGAGGATCAGTCAAAGACTGAGCTCTACACTCGGGTGCTCTGCTTGTCTACACATGTCTAATAGAAAGGGGTGGGGAAAGGGGCAAATCTCAAGCCCTAAAAAGTCTTTAAAACAGAGCCCCACCCACCAAAATATTTCTCCCCAGCTATCATAACTGTACTAACCACTAGAGAGGAAACAACATAGTTAGAAGGTAATAAATGACCCGTACGCTTGTTACACTGTGTGACTTAAAACTGCGGCCTAATGTTAGAAGACTATCTCTATTATAAGCAGAGTGTAGGTTCAGCTAATTGCAAACGCTTTGAATGAATCAAATCTCACACTCAGTATATTAAGTGGGAGTCTCAAGCTTTTCAAGAATTAATAGAAACACTCTGGATGAAGCACAAGGGTGGTTTAGGGACTGCTGGAAGTTAAACAGAGAAAGCATGAACCTAATGATCACTCAAGTTAACTTCAAGTACACATTGGACTTTGCACTTCTTCCCAATTAAGGTCTCTCCCCTGACTTTTTAGGATTGGTGGGGCTTTGAGGAACAGCACCTAATGATGCTATGAGGGGGTTAGTACACACAAGAATTGGAACTGTGCTTAAACCAGCATCTTCTAAGTAGCAAACACACAGCAGCTGCAGGTTTGAGAGGTGGCTGCCAATAGTTTCTTCAGAGAACTGCTGCTGGTATGAGTTTACACTGTTTAAGAAATGTTGCCACATCTATGAAAACTTTAGAAATCACTCATGCAGCACAATCAACCTCTACCTGGGCATCGGTATCTTCAGAGAGGACCAAAGATGGTGGCCACTCACTAAAATGATAACTGCTCACCAAGCATGTAACTCAGAAAAAGAGAAAAACCTGAAGACCTTGCATTACTTTTCTAAACTCTGGAAAAGTTTTACAAATATAAAATTTCCATGAACTTAGTTTTAGTAACTGTAACAATAACTGGCTTTGTTCACAGTTCACCGTCTTGTCAACACTCCTGCAGATTCCTTTTAGTTCTAGAAATACAGGGAATGATGCTGCTGCTGCAAAATGTATGGTTTTTAATATTTGACATGCAAACACTGGTTCTATACAACAATCACCTGATCGCATTGGTTTTTGGGTGCACATGTGTGTCTACAGAGCTCAGCATGACAGACTTGCTCATATGACACCCCACAATAATCGAGGTCAGACAACCCGTTTTAAACTCACATGCATTCTTTCAATTTGCCAGCAGTGTTATGACTGTATATTTCACTTATGTCACTTGAACTGAGTGTGAACGTACAGACTTTTGCTCACAACACTGCATTTCAAAGAAGCTCAAGCAGCCATCCACTGATTTCCTTTGGAATACCGCCAGCCTAATATTTGTGGGCTTAAGGATGCTGGAGGAGGACCAATGACGTAGCTCACATCTAGTAAAAGTGTCACTGTTGTTTAGTGTAGCACCCTGTAACATCCTCAGAGCTCTGCCCATTTAGGCATTTGCTGCTGACAGATGGATTGACTCAGATGCGAGCCTCACCTAGCAACAGTAAGACACACAAGTGTACTGTGTCATGTTCCCTTACTAAACATTTGGTTTGTAAATCCTAAATGAACACCACAGCCAGGATTAAAGGGATGATGCTATGCTCTGCTCAGACATTATCTGAACTTAAATATTTATTCAGAATCTGGTGGGAATCCTGGATGTTTAACAGCTTGCTTTAAGTTGTGTTTGTTTCTGCATTTTGCAAAGTCTAGTTTGTGAAAAGTCAACTGCAAAGCAAAAACAAATGTTGGAACAATCAGTCCATAGTTTTGTGCATTGGTCCTTAAAATTCTGAAGCGATCAGCTTGTTTCAAAGATCCCTGCTTACTTCCCTACACCTTTTAAAGTGTGCGTCCTCTATAAGCCCTTCATTAGCTTTATGAAAATGACCTTCGAGTTTCTCTATCATGATGTAAATGTGCACTCCGGTGCACAGATTCGCTTTGACAGACTTTTGGTGCAACTGCACAATTACCCAACTGTCGACTCAGTGGGTGGAGGTGACAGAGGGTGGGGTGAGGACTGACAACCTTAGTCACCACCTTGCTTGTCATTTCAGCGTGCAGGTGCAAAATGGGTCAGTTAACAGTAACTTAACTCCTCGATTACTAGATTACGCTTCTTGTCTTGGACCGTTCCCAGTCTCACACTTGCGGAAGTCTCCCCCCCAATGAGGGATCCACCGGCTACAGTAAAATCTGATTTATGGGGGTGGGTTCTCTGTGGGAAGCAACGGAGTACCTCCGATACCAGCATGGGGCCGCTCAAAAACGAGACAGCCAATCTAATCAACTTTAATAAACTCCATCTTACCCCACGATCCCTTCTGAGTAGTTCCTGTCTTTCCATGGCGTGCCCGTGTAACCATCATAGTCTCCCGTGTTGGAGCCGCTGCCACTGTTCAAGAGGCTGGAATTGAATCCGAAAGTGCTAGCTTTGTTGTCTCTTTTTCTTTTGTTGGGGTGTCCGTCCGTGAGTCCCCTCCACAGCACGGCGACCCCGCTGCCCTGCTGCTGCCCCCCTCCGCCGACACCGCCCCTGCCAGCGGCTCGGTTGTTGTGGTTGGTATTCGTTTCCAGTGGTATAAAATCCCGTTGTTCGTTTAAGTCCCCCATTGAGGCCGACATCCCCTGAGTCTTGACGTCTCCAGTACCGGTGTTTGAGTCCCCGTTTCTGCTGGTGAGGACGGCTCCCGACGCCCCGTTGACGGTCGCTTTCAGGCTCGACGTGCTCTGAGATCCAGTGGTGTAGCTGTTATTTACATGCAAATAGCCGAGCCCCTGTGTCGTCTCCCAAATCTGCATCCACAGGTTGTTAGCGGGTCCACGTTGTTCTGGTTGAAACCAGGCGATTCTCGGATCCATCAAACGACACTGTAGGCACACCGCCCCCCCACCCCACCACCGAGCAATGCTCAGCTCGTGTGCAGCTAGCCAGGTCGCTAGCTAACGTTAGCTAGCCTGCTATAGCCTCGTTATAGCTGCTGCTAGCTGAGCTCCTCCGCTGACCGATACTTCGAGAATCTGGTAAAAACGCGTTGCTTAGCAGTGACAATACAGACAGTTGTCAACCAGTAGCATCCACGGGAAATAAGATAACAGTGCGAGTCAAGTATTAAAAATGGTAGCAGACGCCAAAGTTGCGGTAGAAGACTGGAGAAACGTGCAGGCGGTGCTTGTCGAAGTGCCTCTCTGACCCTTTCCTCCTGATCGTGGGTCTCTCAATGGCGGAGTGTACGTTTTTACTACGCATGCGCGGAGCGAGTGAAAAGGGGCGGAGACACGGCTCTTACGCAACAGACAACTGTTTTGTGTTACATAACAAGGACTGATTTATTATTCCCTCATCAAAGTAAAGTGGACTAGGTAAACCCGATTTATGATTACGGCCCAGCGCTCTTCTCAGCAATAAAGATTTGTAAATATACAAATAATCTCCCAGGTTAGAGATATACAGAGTGCTGCATAAACCATGACTAATCTACTTGTAGATGACAAGTCATAATATAAACTCCTAATTCAACTGTAAATACATACTACAATCTGTCAATTCGTGTTGAGGTAATCTATTTATAATTTACAAAATATCAAAAAGAATTGTAAAATAAATATTATTCCTCTATTTCTTAACAATCACTCAATTTAAGGTTGTTTTTGTTTGAAAAGCTGGAATCACAAAAAAACATTTGAGCATTTTTGTGATTCTGTTTTTTTTTTTGAAAATGAGAAGCAGTTCTCAAATAACTTACTAACTTGGTAAAATAAAGGTTAAATCAAATAAAAAATAATCATCTTACTCAATTTCTTTATTTCTCTTGATTTTTTTTCTTTCTTCATTTTATATTTTTGAAATTACACCATCTTTGATGCTTTAGCAATATTTTTACCTATATATACATACCAACAAAACATATCCAATTTAACTGATTCGCTAACTGCTTCAGCACTACTTGCAAGTAGATTGTACCTTTTTTATATGATGTAATATGGTGGGGGTCAAATGTAGCTGTGTTGCAGCTTGTTCTGTACAGTGTTTTTTAATCTTGTTAAAATGCAGTAAAATTGCATTGTAAGGACTTTGTTGTGTGTAGCAACAACAATCAGCATCAAACTATCAGTTACAGATACTTCAAATAACAGCATTTGGTAGGAGACATACAGATCCGTTGGGCTTACTGGTTCATTGACTGGTCATGTGGTGCAAAAGAAAAGAGACATCTCAAGAAATCATGATTCATTTAAAAAAAAAAAAAGGCATTTGTTCACAGCCTGGTGACACACTCTCCCTCAAATTAAATAGTTTTCTTTATTCAGTGATAAGGAGTTTTATTGATATTTTCCTAAAAAGTTTTCAGAAACCAAGACAAAAAAAAAAAAGGCCAAAGACTTGAGTTTGTCAGTTACGTAAAGCGTGATGATCGATGGATCAGGTGCAAAACAGATGACACGAAGGAGATTTACTTATTTCAAACCTGCTCTGTTGTAGCACAGGGCTGATTATCATCTTGTGAGTTTTAAAGACACCCAAACCTATTATCAATTATTTTAGAATACCACTGATAAGAATGCTTTCTGCTGTAGTGACTTGCAGACACAAATGTACCAGCAAGCTGTATGAGCTGAGTCAGTAATTGCAAAAATAAATAGCATTTGTTCATTTTTTTTTTTTTTTGAGAAAAAATATGATTCCAATGTATAATGTCCATAAAACAAAGTCTTCTCTTTGTCATTAAGTAGCTGATATTTGAATCATTATAACTATCCAGCTCTTAGAACAGCTCAGCCTCCTTGCAGCAGAAATGCAAATATCAACGTTAAGCCCATTGAAACATGGGATAAAAGGAAGGGGGTGAGAGGCAGTGTCAGCCATGATCTCTGAAAAATGCTACTGGGAGACATGATTACATTAAACAACTTCATGTTTGTAAATCTTTCTGAGTTAAATGAAAGCAAAAAAAAACAACAACAACAAAAAAACCTTATCTGCTACATGCAGCAACTAATAATTCTTAGTTTCCACTCTTTTTTTTTCTCTTCACCACAAATAAACTTTCACATCACTAATAAAACAGTAAACAATTATTTCAAGAATATAAACATAAATACTTAATGGTTTCAAAACCATATTCTGCCTCATTTCACACTCCCGTCCAAATCATATTGGTTCAACCGATCGGAATATGAAGTACGGAAAGTTCTCATTTTTTCACCACCTTCTCCAGGTAACCAATAAATCTCCTCAGGTTGACTTTGATGTTGTCCAGCACACACAGCTGCTGAGGGGTGTATTTGCCTTTTCCTTCTTTGCGTATCTGGTGGAAAAAATAAAAGCTATAGTTATTTAAAAGTTTGAGAAAAATCACACAATATGCTGGAGACATAAGAGAGATAGAAACTGTTGCAAATCAAAACTGCAACAGCAAAAAGCAAAGTGTAAAAAATATGGAGGAATCACTAAGAGCAGTGATCAGTAAAGATCAATTAATCCCTGGTACCTTGGCCTTGAAAACAGGTTGAAGTGCCTTCAGTGCAGGCAGTAAGTGGATGTTTTTCGCAGCTGTTTCTGCTTCGTCTCCATCCGCGAAAACATCAAATAAAGCGTCAAGGGCTTCTCCATTTACCACCAGGTCGGCGTCCCTTGTGGCAACTTGAAGTAAAGCGGTTCCAATCATCTGCGGGAGCAGAGGTTGTTAGACGAAGAACACATATTGCGAAAGAAGAAAAGAGACAAAGACGATACCTGAAGGGTTTCTGCAGTGCCCTTCTCTTTGGCTAACGTGCTGCCAGTGATGCCCAGGATGGCGACGGCGTTGACCCTCACACTGACAACATCGCAGCGGGTGGCTGCTTCGCTCAGGCTCATCAGCTGCTGGGGGGTCATACACTAACAAAAACAAAACCAAACACGCAAATATTGAGTCGTCCAAAACAAACATGGTCAACATCGATAACAGTGAGCTGGCAGGGGAGGTTCAAGTTTGACATAAATACAAAGTCTAGCTTCTGTGAAACGGCGCTGTATTTATCCAGTCGACAAACATGGAACTAAACTAACTTCACCAACTGTACACATGAACTCAGTTAACTGGACATGAGGAGCATTAGTCAGCCGGCAACAACAGAGCTATAATGTGTTCCTGCGGCTGCAACAGCATGGGGATTTAAAAGTTTGGAACATTTAGCAGACAGAGTAACAACTCATTTATATAACGGAGTTGCATTGTGGGAAAAATAAGATCAAGCATTTTAGAGATTGATCCGGGCTGGTGGCTAAAAGTCAGGATGTCTCAACCTCAGCTGCAGAGTGACCCCTTTTCAGTAATCGTCATAAATGACACTGTTTTGAATAGTGTGTGTTCTGTACCTGGGGGATATTTTTGGAGGCGATCATCTGTAAAAGAGACCGCATTGCACTGATGACTGCCTCGAGGAACTCCTCATCTTTGGTAAGCTCTAAAAGAAAAGAAAGAAAATGTTGAATGCCACCTTGCATATGTAGTTTTGGTTTTCACTTTTCACTATGATGCGATTCTACATCTAGACTTTGAACAACTTGCTTCCTTTGTATTACAAAAATAACAAAAGTAATAGAAACTGTGCAATAATAAAACAACGGGAGACCTGCGGCACCAAAGACCAGCGTGGACAGATGCTGTGCTGCTCCCTGCAGGGCCGCCGCACCGCCCAGAGACTCAGCATCCATGGTGGAGAGGATGCTGTGGAGGCACGTCAGCGCCCGGGACTGGACGCGCTGCATCCTAAAGGAGAGTGAGATGCTTTTTTTTATTCAAGAGCGTATAAGTGTGAAAAAGTGAAAGTAGACAACACAAAGTGCAACACATTCTGACCAGACAGTAAAGTTCAAGAGAAGATGAGAAGTAAAGAGGATTACTTTTTTATCAGGCCTCTCCAGGAGGGATTCTGATGGCACACGTCCATGGCTTCATTTCTAGGGAACTCTGTCTTTTTGAGAACCTTGAATAAAGAGAAGAAAAGTATACTATGGGAACCCTGTTTTTACAAGTCAGCCTGGTTGCATAAAGGCATTTATGTGAAAGAGAGAGCTTTGCTGAACTGCACTGGTAAGATATTTAATCTGCTCAGCCTGGGGGACAAGCTGGGTTGGGTTCAGTGCATAATCAGAATCATAATTTAGGTTTTATTTACAGTAGCACACACTTAAATGACAGCTTAACTACATTCACAGGCGAGTCAAAGCATTGTGACGCTGGGATGAACTCCTGTTTACAGCTGTTGAACAAGCTGAAGTGTGATTGATGAACTGCGCCACTATTTGCCTTTTCTGGTATGCTGTGGTTGATCAAGGCCCCGTGAACCTCAGCTGACAAACACAGTGGAGACATCAGGTTGGACAGTCCGTCACAAAGGCCATCCGGACCCAAGTCGCTCTCGTCACTGCTGGATTCCTCTTCCCACTCGTCATCAGAGGGGTCTGAAGAGGCGTAAAAACACAGGCTCGATCAACGAAAAGACGAAAAACAAACGTCGTCACTGGACAGCAATGAACGGCATTTCTGGACACTCAAATTGTTCGTGTATTTCTTGCTGTGATAGGCTTGGCGATGGACAAACACATACTTGGTGGCTATGTCACAGGAAATAAATGTGATGAAAAGTGCCTGAGGTCAGCACTGATGTCCATGCCCACAACACTCACCGTCAGAGCAGCACATGTTGACAATGATCTCTAAGGACGTTTGCTGGGCTGTCAGCAAGGCCGTTGCCTCCCTCAGCTCCTCCTTGCCCCTCTGGACAAAAACAAGCAGCCATATGAGTCAACATCCTCCCAAAACAATAACTGTTAGCACTGTTATCACCCAGTCTGAGTTCAGCTGCCGACCACAAAGAAGACATTTAATCCTACACATGCATTTGAATATGTCCCGTGGCACTATTTTCCAGCTGTGATGCAAGAAAAGTGAAAAACTGTCTCAAGCGTGTCCATTTTGAAGGAAAAAAAAAATTAGGTTGAACCACTTGACATTTACTGATCACGCCAGTGTCTGTGTGTTCAGTAGCACTGAAACAAGGACACTTCCACAGCTGTGTGTTCACACAAGAAAGTGGCTCAGACCCAGATAACCCCATTGTGTAACCCACAACATTAGAGGGTATTTTGGAACTTCACCATGAATGTCATCCACAATCTTGGGGCTCTGGCTGTGACTGAGCTGAGAGGGACAGCTCTGTCTCGCTGGGGTCAGGTTTGGGGACTGTCAGTGTGGTGGAGGCCAGAAGCTGGTCCCCAGCTGAACCTTGCTGAGTGTCCCCAGTCTGCTCCCCGCAAACCCGACAGTTTGTCTGCCCTGTCAGTCTGGCTCGCTCGCTCGCTAGTATGACTCACACGCCACCTTTTCAGCTGGCATTAACGTGCGCCTCAAAAACACAAAACCAGATCGCCTCCTTGCCATAAACACAGACTTTTGAGTATGTCACATATCAACACTTAAGACTGCTGCGATTCTGCGACTCCTGACAACTCACTGTTTTGTAAAGTCTCCCCGGTCATTGTTTAACCTCTAACAACTCAAAAAGCTATGGAGAACTTTTTTTTTCTATGAAAATAATCCCTTTATGCCTTAAATGGTTTAAATATAACTTTAGTCCTGCCTTAACTCCACTCTCTCTGCCGCTCGCTGCAGCTCGGGCACACCAGCTCACCTGTGACTCTGCTCCAACACTGTGAAACTACTCCATGCTACACAGTGATGAAATATTGGTGTAATTCAGCTGTACACGTTCAAACCAGAAACCGATTCTGAAGAAGAAAAACTAAAGCCCCACTGCTATGAAGCCTCAGTGCATCATCAGTTCACTGCAGTTTCATGTAGAAAAGCTCAGTCATGGTGTTAACTAATTACTACTTATTAAAATGTTCTCAAGAAAGGATCTTGAACCACATAAATGATTAAAAAAGCAAATTGTATGCTCTTGCATGTTACTTGTTGACTGGAGAGAAATTTCACCATTTACAAAACATCTGGGAAATTTGCTTCAGGCTTGTTCTAAACTTTGACTTGTGAGTCAAAAACGTAATAAGAAAAAAGCATCTCTATTTCTAAACAGGGAGATGGTCTACAACACCTTTTATCAGGTACTTATAATGCAGTCCTGAGATACCTCCCCAGGTTGGATCACCACCATCCACACCTTGAAGCAGGTAAGTCTTCAATCATTAGCGAGCTTTGTAGTGATTTGATTTCTAATCAGTAGTTGGAACTGAGGAAATTTCTTTGATGAGAGGTGAAACGTCTTCAAGAACTCAAAAAGACGTCGCGCTGACATCCTGTAGCACCTAACTACTGTGACCTGGATGACTGAGAATCTACACAAATATATCCTCACTTAAGAACTTTGCTTAAAGCAGCTAAAAGGAAAATAATTTTGAGTACCAACTGCAGCGAGTCTTTAATATTACATTTTATCAGATGCCCTCTCTCAGGCACAGAATCAGCCAATAGCAGGATGCCAAAGGTC